ATCTGGGAAAACAAAGTCACATGAACGATAAGCATTATGTGAAACCACTCTGCCACATTTTGAAGTCACTAGATCATAACGTTGAGGTCAAACAAGGTCAAACAATGTCAAAACCCAGGTCAGCGTCCGAAGCGTCCCATGCCTTCTCATGCAACCAACTTAAATAATGATACATCTTTTAAGCAAAAGGTTACTGGTGTTCATATCAGGTCAGTGACCTTATTTGACCTTCAGAAGGTCAAGGGTACCGAAAAATTAGATTGTTTAATATGTACATTCAGTTCAGTGCCAAGGCCTACGCCAGGCGGCATGTTCCGCTAAACAAACGGTTGATCGGGTCATATCAGGCCAGTGACCTCCTCTGACCTTAAAAATGACCACATGTCGTGCATGTGCATGTCCCTGTAATCAAGAAATTCGATATTATTCCAGCCCTGATTTAAACCCTGACGTTCGCAAACGTCAAAAACTGTCCCATCACACAAGTTCTTCAGTACAAAAGGCTGTTTGTTGTTGACCTTGGCCTGACCTCCAGTACCTCACCCAAAGTCCATAGAATATATTGCAGTCTTTAATCAAAGTGTCTTATTGCATAATAATTCATCTCAAAGATGCCTAGGAAATGCCTTCGCTGTCAGTCATGATCTGACTTTGCCCTGTCATGTATAGGTCGAGGACCAAGCAAGGCAAAATTTCCTGTTTTTAGCTAAAGGATCGGCTATTTAATTGTCTGTGCCTACGCATAGTTTCACACGGCTCGTAGTTTATGCAAAAAAATTAGAGAGGCTTAAATTAATCCCTACCAGTGTGAGCTGAAGAAGACAAGCGCATATGGTGCGCATTGGTATGGTCTAAAACTTAAGTTCGATGACAACGAAAAAACCATCACGAAAAGGTACTGTGCCTTACTGTCCGTCCTGAGACAGATCATGCTAAAAAGGCTGTTGACACCGGATGTTTGGAAGGTTGCCGGGGCGGAGTGCAGTGATCAAATAAACCCTATTTCCAGAAGAAGCGGATTCATATTGGTTAACCTCGTCACCCGCCCATCCAGCACTGGAACAGTCCCATGACAGGGCACCACCTGATCCGAGTCAGGGCAGGGTGGAAAGGGCTTGCAATGACTCGTAGACAGGTGCATGCGCTTGAACAGTGCCAAAACCGAAAATGTTCAGCTCTTTAAACAATACCATCTTCAAGAACGACGCGAGCCGGTCGTACCTGTCAAAAATCTTCAACCCGATCGTAAAAAACGAAAACAAAATCCTCCACGGGCATCGAACCCGGGCCTCCCACGGCCACCACCGGGGGACAGAGCGCCAGCGAGGCATCGAACCCGGGCCCCCCACGGTCACCACCGGGGGGACAGAGCGCCAGCGAGGCATCGAACCCGGGCCTTCCACGGCCACCACCGGGGGGACAGAGCGCCAGCGAGGCATCGAACCCGGGCCTTCCACGGCCACCACCGGGGGGACAGAGCGCCAGCGAGGCATCGAACCCGGGCCTTCCACGGCCACCACCGGGGGGACAGAGCGCCAGCCAGGCATCGAACCCGGGCCTCCCACGGCCACCCCAAGCATGCTTCCCACTCAGCTGTTTCGAACCCCCAGACCACGCCTGACGCTCGCAAACTCAGCCAGTCGTAAGTCATTAAGCATCCTTGTCCAACTAGCGGTCCTAAATTAATGTCACTTGGACGCCATTAAACTGCCTTGTTCAGTCAGGTATACATCAGCACTTGGTAAGCGAAGGCATCTGAAACGACAACAACTACAAGTTGGAAGACAAAACAGGTCTGCCGACAAAGGCAGACGCGTGTCTTCAGGTAACCTTAACAATACAAGAAAAGGGTGCGTCCAATGGCCTACCATTGCTTTAAAATGTCTTTCCTACTTCAATAATCGAAAGCAACGGAAGCAAGGACCGTGGTGATATCTAGGCGTGGAGGTTTCATCGCTAGTAACTAAAACAATCGTTTAACAAACAAAACATCCATTTCACTGATCGGTCCTTTCGGTGGTGTTATGAAGCTGAGAAATAGAATGCAAAGTGACTCCTCGCCACTGAAGTAGGGTCGATTTATCACATAACCTTAGAGGTTAGATGGTAACGATCGACTTAAACCCTGGCCAGTTCGCACTCCGAAAGAACAATACGGCGTCCGTAACTATTCCAGACAACTACATTACACACATTAAGAAGCCAGGGAGCCGTATAACTTTGGTACAAGTTGGATGATCCGCACAGAATTGCTTTCTACTATTACCTTTATGTAACATTTGCCTGCCGCTTCCAAAGAGAAATCAAACCGCAGAATCGGCGGCTATCACCATGCAGACCAGATCTTTATCATCTTCCCACTGGCCTTATTAGCATCCTCTGGCCAATCTTCTGCGAAATGTAACTATCACCATCCAAAAGGGTTATTAATTATCCTCTCTGAATGATCTGCTTATTCATACCCGTTCGCAAAGCTTCCACACGGCGCACCGAATGATAGTATCACCTGCGGACCAAGCATGAGCACGGCAGTGACGCATACACGTAGCACTCGGTACAGACCGGCAGCAGGCATGGCCGCCAGTGGAGCAGCCAGCCGGTCTAGGTAGGGGTGGTCGCCGAGCGCGGCCTCGAACGCCGCGCGGGGCAACAGGGCGCCATCTCGCACGGCTACCGGGGCGCGAGGTCACCGTCTGAGCCCCCAGCGGCCGCCAGCGCCGGCCGGCGCTAGGGCTCGTCCCCAGGCGGCGGAGGCGGCGGCCGGCGCTAGGGCTCGTCCCCAGGCGGCGGCGGCGGCGGCCGGCGCTAGGGCTCGTCCCCAGGCGGCGGAGGCGGCGGCGGCGGCCGTCCCACCCCTGGGCCCTCGGGCGACCGGCGCGCACCGACAGCCGGCCCCGCGTGTCAAACAGGCACCGGCGGTGGCGTGACCGCCCCCCGGTGAGTGCAGCGGCGTCAGCAAAAACAGCGCCGGCGCCCAGGCCCGGCCACTCGAAACGCTGCGGGGATACGCGGACGGGCGCTGCGTGATGCCAATGTTGATGGGGTCGTCACCGGCCAGGCATGCTGCAGGCACCGGCCTGTGGCGGGCGGGAGTCTGGTATACGACTTCGGCCAGTTTACGTCGTGATGAAGTCCTTGATTGTTTTGTTACGGTCATCCCGGTTCAGCTGAAGAGATCATCACACCGCTCGTGGGTTTTAATTACATTGCAGTTCGGAATACTTCGAAAAAAGAAGGGTCACAAACTTGAATATTTGAATATATTGAAGCAGGCATCAGATATGATGAAATGTGCTCAATTATAATTTCCGATAAACTTTCAAGTGGAAACGACTGCCCTACGCAAGGCGGCTTCTCTGTTTAGTAAATATCGTGCCCAATACGTTATTGTTTGATTACGCCATCGTAGCTTTGCACAAGTGACTGAGCGCCAATGTGCGGCCGTTTTATCTGGAAATCGTGCTCACGAACACCAGATAGCACAAACTCCACATTTTTTTTCTGTTTTGGTCTTCACTGCCGCAAAACCAGTGGAATGGCAGGATTTGAATGGCGTCATTATGGCGTCATGGATGCCTGGGTGATCTTGAAATATTCGGCACGAAATAGTCTGCATATCTTTGCGGGCGTGCAGCTCGGACACTAGAGGGGTTAGATCTTAAGGAGGGCAGGACTGTGAAATGCACTGAATGATTTTTCAAGACGGCATTTCAGTTCAAATCCCTTACCAACATGGAACACTCCCTTTAAGGATTTGTTGGATTTCAAGCAGGTTTGCTTGAAATCCAATAGATGTTCAACGCTTGTTCCTTAAAAAACACCTTGGACTTATATCTACGCGAGCGTAGGATCTTATTTAAGTTGGTGGTTCCCTAAACTAACTCCAAGAAACACGCACTACTCCCAAAGGCATCCTGCTTTCCGTTCGTAATTCGTTTCTAATGTTTGAAGGGATTCCCTTGGGAGAGAAAGCCGGTCCTCGTGCAGCCCTTTAGCTCGGTCCTTCGGCGCTGTCCACGCCCTGTGAGCTACGCCACCTCTAACGTCTGCCCCGGTCGTGACCCTATTAGCCTAACAGATCTTTTATGTTCCGTCACGTTCACGAAATGGCCGTCTGCTGACCAAGAGCCTTATCATCTGTCGGTTATGCAACAATGTCGCCATTAACGAAACGACAGCACGCGACATGTATGAGCCGAATGTGCCAGGGCAAGCCGCCGGGGACATCTCATATTCGGAAATTGCGTAACGCCGGCGGTTATCAGTCGTCGAGATTACATTGTCTGGACACGGGTACGCCAATCAATCAATACCAACACTCATAGTAGGCTAGGACTGGGGATCCATTTGCGCGTAAATCAGACAATGCGGAAGCCGACAAGAAAGTCGTGTGTGGTTCTGAAATTGCTAGATATGCACGTACATCACGCCAGTCTACATGCGAGTTTTCCCCACCGGTTAAGAACCGCTCGAGAATTGCACACAGGGCTCTGCCGCACGTGACGAACGCGCTTGGAACCCTCCGGCTACGGGAGTCCGGGTGTGCGGTTGCCAGATAGGCTATAGGTGTGGGTGAATAGTGAGGGTCTCAAAATGGGACGACATCATGCGATCCACGCTCATTGTGTCGCGGGACACGAGCGAATCCCTCCCGTCTCGAGTCCACCAAGAGTTTCGCTAGACCTAATGCATCGTTCGAGTGGCGTTCGGAAGGGCGAGGATGATCAGCGCTGCTACGGTAGACGTCCTTCCGGTCTGAATTCGGAAGTGGCGCTAACTACATTGTTTTGTTTGGCGATAGAATAAACTGACAGTTGTCGGTGGTCTCTGCCACGCACGTCAAAACCCGGCACAGGCCGTAGCGGAAATGCCGCCCGGACGCCACACAGTCACCAGATACGACAGCCCGCCCAGCCAGCCGGAGTGGCGGCGCACGTACCTCCTTGACGCTGGGCGCTCCTGCCGCCGGTGCGCCACCAGGCGAGGAGCAGGAGGCGGCGGCGGTGCCGGTGCCGGCGGTGGCCTGCGGCGGCGCTCGGGGCGCCTGCATCGTCAGCGGGATCACCTGTCCGTCGGACAGCTTGATCTGGAACTCGACGGCGTCAGGCGGCGGTGGCGGCGGTGGCGGTGGCGGCGGTGGCGGTGGTGGTGGTGGCGGTGGCGGCCGCGGCGCCGGCGGCGTACCAGCGCCGGACGGCGGCCGTGGCCGCAGCGGCGGCACCGCCTGCGCCAGCGGCTGGCCCGGCTGGCGGGGTGTGCTCACGGTCGAGCTCACCTGCTGAGGATTGCCTGTCGGCGGCGACCCAAGACACCGCTCAGGGGGCTGCCAATCGGTAGTGGAGGCGCCAGCATGGGGCTCACCGGAGAACAATGAGACAGAGGCGTCGACGACGGGCCCACTGATTACAGTGGGTAACACGCATGGGGTGGAGCGTAACCGGGGGACAATGGCGCACAGACAATAGAGGAGGGACTAGCTTATGGAGGTGGCAGGCACGACGTGCGGGAGACGGCCTGGCGGAAGAACGATGAGAGAGACAGTTTCGAGACGTGCAAACCAGAAAGCTCTGGGATGTCTTTGTTAATGAGAAGATAACCAGGAACCAATTATCGCGAGGCAACGGGCCGTAAGCCCAAAAATGGTTTTCTATATGCATCCATATCCAGCTAAAAAAAATCACGTATACGTTATTGACTCAACATATCCATTGAGTGTGACGCCAAGTTTGTGCTCAGATGTGCAGTGACAGGGCCTCATACGCAACCTCCTCCACACCGCCACGACATCTGCCAGTCTGTTTACACCCTGAAGAGCAGGCCGCATTACAGACGCCGGCCGCGGCCGTCACCTGTTTTGTGAGCTCACGCCCAGCCTAAGCCAGTGCACGGATCGGCCGGCGCGGCTTCCGCCGACGAATTTAGACCTAGCCGAGCTGGCACAGCAGGGCAAGCGAGCAGACTTATTACGCAGCCGGGGTATTATAGTTATCTGCTCATCTAACATCAATCAAGCGACATAAAGCAGTAGGCAATCGTGCCCTGAAAATGTAGGGCATCCCAGCAGAGGAGGGCGTTCACCACCACGCTTAAAAATCTGGTGTTTCTTAAGGCATTTTAAAATCAAACAAGCGCTGAATTTCTCAGGAAACTCAATCGTGTTGTGGAGACCGCATCGTTACGTGTATATATCTTCGAGAGTTGTCTGCTGCGGCCTGACCAGTTTTGTGTTTTTGGTGTCACGCTTTAATCTATATTGCGCCATGTCCTGAGACTGGAATCAAACCTCAAGTTGGCATGATTCTTTGGGCATTAACGACCTTCGTTCTTTAGATTAGCTAGACTGATTCGTGCAAGCGCCAGCACAGGCCGCCGCACCAATTAACTGGTCAGGATACTACTGGACGGCTAATCCATGCCGTGAGTCTGCACCAAGACTTACGTCTAATAGTCATTCCAAGAACACCAATCGGCATATGCCGTGCGCGTGTACCGCCAGGACGCAAATGCGACCACAACGCGAATCTACTTCTCATCCTCTGCCCTCGACCTAAAATCACCAAATGTAAACTTGATGGCCTCAATAACGCACCATTAACGGATAAGCGATGCAGTTTTACGCAAGCAACCCGGTGCATGCTGGCCGGGAAACACTTGACGGCATTTTATGGCAAAGCTGTTTGAAGATAACGGTTGATGAGAGACCCCCTGGAACCCATCATTTTTGTAGACGTGCACGCACGCACGCACGCACGCACGCACGCACGCACGCACGCACGCACGCACGCACACACACACACACACGCACACGCGCACGCGCACGCGCACGCGCACACCCACACCCACACATACGTGTGTACATCTTCGAACTGCTTGGTTGGGCCTTTTTATCCCATATGCTTGTAGCTGTCCTCCCCAGTCTAATGGAAGCGCCTGCTGCAGCTGACGCAAAACCAGGTCCATTTAACGACTAGCCACATTCTGAGCTTCCCAACATCTCCTTCCTCGGCTACACATTTCCAGGCTGCCAGATTTTGGGCGTCTATGGCGTCGTTCTGGGCCAAAGCTGATATCGCCCGACCAGTTTCCGGCAAACTCTAGGCATGGGAGGCCCGAGAGCACAGGCTATGTCGCCCAACGGCACCCGATGGCGCGGGAGCGGGGCCGACAGCAGCTCCTGGCAGCTAGGCTGTACCGTCGCGCCTGCACACGCAGCGGGCCTGTTTACGCTGCCCCTGCAGCGCAACGCCACAGCCCGGCGCGCGGAGCTGGTGCCGCGACCGCATTCACCGACCCCGCACCTACGGCCCACACCGCTTTCTTCGCCCTCTTATTATATCGCATCGGGCTCCAGTTTTGTGTACGCCTCTCCTTCAGGCTGGAGGTGCTCACGGGCTAGGCTGGCCACTGGGTGTCCGCGTGCCACCCGTCCCAAGAAGCGTAGAAGCAACTGAGAAAACGGTTTTACTGTTCTGAAAGCGTTGTTTGTTAAGTTACATTTAACTTCAATTAAAGCTGGCAATTAGGCTAAAGCGAAGGCTAACAATTTAAGATATTGAGCCGCCATGCCCCTCCCTGCACAACACGGGCTTGGTAATGCTTTCATTGGGTTTTCATAACGTCAGGTTCAAAAGAGCACGCGCCGAGTCCGTGTTCTATAGCCGGCAAAGCACATCCGATCCGCGATAGCTTACAACTGGGTCAAAAGAGTCAAAAAAGTCTTCCAATCGGACGGCGTCGTGCGAACCCGACGCGGTTCACCGTGTCTACGCACTCCACCGCGGTGTTTTGTTTGGCCGGCCGCGAATTTGTGGTGGATGGCGGAGTTGCAATCGCGGTGATGTAAGCTTTCTAAGCTACTGACGCTTTCTTTGAGGGCCGCGACACGATCATCGGGCCAGTGGCTCGTCGGCCGCATGTTGCTCCCAGTTGTAAGCTATCGCGGATCGGATGCGCTTTGCCGGCTATAGGACACGGACTCGGCGCGTGCTCTTCCTCTTCCCTGCACGGCACTGTCAATCATACGGTGTTTGGGATGACGGCAGTTTCACTAACCCAACTGGCAAAGCAGACCCCATCCCATATCACTCTCACCCTCGCTATCGCTTTAGATCTCGCTCTCGATCTTACTTCCGGTGTCGCTCTTGCTCTTACTCTTGCCATTACCGTTGCTGTTGCTGTTGCTGTTGCTATTGCTATTGTTGTTGTTGTTGCTGCTGTTGCTGTTGCTGTTGCTATTGTTGTTGCTGTTGCTGTTGCTCTTTCCCTGTTCTTGCACTTGTTCCTGTTCTTGTTCTTGTTCTTGATCTTGCCCTTACTCTCGCTCTTGCTCTCGCTCTTGCTCTTGCTCTTGCTCTTGCTCTTGCTCTTGCTCTCTTGCTCTCGCTCTTGCTTTTGCTCTTGCTCTTGCTGCTGTTCTTGTTCTTGCTCTTGCTCTTGCTCTTGCTCTTGCTCTTGCTCTTGCTATCGCTCTCGCTCTTGCCATTGCTCCTGTTCTTGCTCTTGCCCTTGTTCTCGTTCTCGCTCTCGCTCTCGCTTTGCTCTTGCTCTCGCCCTTCCTTTCACTCTTCCTTTCGCTCTCGCCCTCGCTCTTCTCCACTCGCGCTGCTGCAGATGGTAAAAAGAAAGGTTTTCACTAACCAACCGACAGATATACCCTGCATGCACGAGCATGCTTTCAAGATTTTGTCCGTGGATGACTGTTTTTTTTTTACTGACTACTGACGAGCTCTGAAATTGTGTCATTGTAATGCATTTACCACAGCCTTCCTCGTCGGAAAATCCGCCGTTCGAGCAATAAATGACACGCTCTGTGGAAAAACTTTCCTCGCCAGTAAATCCGCCGTTCGATCAGTAAATGACACGCTCTGTAGAAACAAACTTTCCTCGCCAGAAAATCCGCCGTTCGATCAGTGAATGACACGCTCCGTGGAAACACTCATAAATTTAAACTGAAATGCGGGCGTGGAGATGTGCGTTCCTAAACGGTAACTGAACAAACTCTCCCATGTCGCGCTTCTAGAACATCACTGCCAATCCCGTGACATGCAAGCTGACTGTTTGAGTGAAGCACGTGGGGCTGAGCATTGACCCCGCCCAGACGCGCAAACACTCGGCCTATCCTCTTGGTAACAGTATGCAGCGCATCGAGAGCATACCGCTCGAGTTCACCTAGGATGTGCGTGATCGACACTGCCAGTCAGGTGCTTTCGTGAACGACGCTCGGGTTTCACAGAGCTCTTCAATTTTCTTCTTCGAGCAGCAACGGCCCCGGTCCGCAGCGCCTTCCACGTCGTGCTGCGCGGCCGTGCAGTTCTGTGTCTCATTTACGTAACGTGACCCTGGTCTATTTAAGAGGGGCGGTGGGAGATCTCTTTGGTTCGTGAAAGACGTGACTTGGTCATATGCATGTATGAGTATTTGCATGTGAAGTTCCGGATTCTCAATACTACTTATACATGTCATCGTATTTAAGTGACATTTCTGAGGACTTGGGCTTATTTTCTGAGGTCCTCACGAAAATGAGGCCTGTAAACATGAGTCACATGACCATGCATCACATTGCAGAAGCTTCAGTGGCAATTTGATCCGTTTACCACACGTAAGACTTCGCTGAATCCAAACGTACCGAACGCTAGAGCAGTTTGGCGTCTATTGAATGCAAGTGCTCTAACAACGTAAGCCTCCCGCAATCTCCAGATTAAGTTCAATGTTAGAGTTACCGGAACCGGCCATGTATGATTACATGAACAGACATGCGCTATCGCTGGTAACTAGAGATCATCGCAAGTTCTGTTTTCTTCTCCCTGCACGTTATAAGAGCTTCCGATCGAGTGACACGATCAACTGAATTGTTGCAAAGATAGAGGGAGCTGTGTGAAACACCCCAATACACCGCTTCCTTCCAGCGCGTGTAGCAGCCCGGGACAAAGCACAAAACGCTCCGTGCGCGAATGTTGCCGCGGGGCATCCCAGCGTCGGCGGCGGAGGACACCAGCGTCCAGGGCCGGCCACGAGGCTGGGCTACTCACACAGTGGTCGGCGTGTGGACGGCGGCGGGCGACAGCAGCGGGTCGGCCACAGGTGGCACCACCGTCGGCGAGCGCATGTCCAACGGGCCCTCCACCTCCATCTGGCCACACAGAGAGTGGCGTCGTCAGCCGGGGGACGTGCGTCCCACTCATAAGCACCTGGCGCAATGTGACAGCAATGCTCAGCGACGTAACACGGCTATCCAATTTTCGTTCGCGTCATTGAAAGCAGCTAACAATGGGCGGTCGGGCTGCCTTTCTGCGAGGACTCCCCCTCCACGTCGGCGTCGCTTAAATGTATTAGCGAATCTGGCGAATCGAATCCAACTCTAGCGAATCGCATAACGAAACACGAGAGAGCTTTGGTGTTGAGGACTGAGCCCGTCTGAGCAGTCGGATCGCATCAAGCGCCCGCCTGTTCTCGCCAGCACGGCACGCTCTCTTCAAAAGCGCACAATTACGATGACATGATACGATGAAACTGCAGACGAAGTGACGAGCTCGCAGTGAGGTAGACTTAAATCAAAGCTTTCTGACAGAAGCCGTCCCGAGAAGTGGAAGGACCACATCGCGTGTCGAGGACATAAACAAGACCGCTCTGGGTGGTAAATCAGGAGCATATTTTGCTGTGGTGAATTAGTGCTTAGGTTATCCTTCCAAAATTCTTGCTATGCTTTTTGTGAAAACAATACCCAACAAACAACTGAAAAAGACGACAACTGCTCGGTATACAACTGCAACTTTCTACAGGCAGCCAACGTTGGTGTATGCAAATGTCGCAGGCTGATGCCGATATGGATACTGACACGTCATCACATTTATGCCAGAACGCCACCGCATTTGCAACGCAAACACAGCAAATCATCCAGATCATGGCCTAATACCTAAAGTTGACGGGTGAAGACAAACGCCGTGAGACGTAACCACATGAGTGAACCTATCTATCTTCCAGATCCGCCCCATCCAATGGTCCAGGCCATCCACCATGCCCCGTCCTTCGAATCCAAACCTCCCCTCCGCAAACCAACTCCATCCTCTGCCTTGCTCCCCCTCATTCGCGTCCCCTCCCCTCCCGTCGCCCTTCACCCCGCGTGCGCGCGGCGCGGTGTCGCCGGTGTCGCCAGTGTCGCCGATATCGCCGGTGTCACCGGTCTCACTCACGTCGTCCTCAATGGCCATGGTCTCGTCCTGGCGGGCGTCGGCGCGCGCCGGCCGCCGCCGTCCGCCCAGCGGGCTGCACGGCGTGATGATCACGTGTGCCGGTGGCGGGCTGCCCATCCTGCGGCACGGCCGGGCGTCAGGGGACAGCCGGCGCCCGGCAGCGGCCGCCGCCGCTGTGGCCGGCGGCAGGGCGCCGCAGGCCGGACGCCGCTTCGGGCTCCGCTCCACACGCTGGGCGTTCTACCGACGTCATCGGGAGAGCTGACGTAACAGCATGACTCCCCTGTCAGGACTGATGCAGGCGTGAATACGAGGGGCAAATGTTTGGATATGCGATTTCGGGATCAGACCATAAAGGTGGCATTTCAGCAGAAGTTTAGCGGGGTTCTAAACCAGCATGCTGTACGGATTGTCCATTCAATATCCATGATAGTGAGCGAACATATCAAAAGCATGTATTGCATGCCTGGCCATGTTCCAAATGCACTGCACGACGGCTGGGTACTGAAGCAGGATTTACACGCTGTATGAAATTACAGTTACTCTAGCACAATCTTAACATTTCGACCACCAGTTCCACCAATGGGGTGAGTGCCTCGTGCCACTGTCAACAACGGTGCAGCTGCGCCCGCCGTCGGCCAGGCGCATTATACCTGTGTGGGCTGGCCAGGCGGGGTTGGGGCGTGTCAACGGCCGGCGTGGCGCCGTCCTTGGCCGCGTGGGGCTCCCCCTCGGCCGGGTGCACCACGTGCGGAGTGTTGAGCGGCTCATCGCAGGCGCCGCTGAACGGCTGCCACGACAAACAGAGCTTCGTGAAGTGGCCAAAGGCGCGTGGTGGCGCCACGGGCACACGACGCGGGAGGATTCTACTTTTCATTTGGGGCCACTAAAACGGCGACCCCCGCTAAATCTGGCACGTAACTCTGAACACACTTTGGGCAGCACAGGAAACAATGTAGTACTTACAATTATGACTATGTAAAAATCACAGCTAAGCCTTGAACGGTGACCTGCCAACATAGTGCTAGAACGGCTCATTTCGTGACAGCACGCGTCACGTAAAGCCCTTCGCCAAGGATGTCGTCCTTTTTTGCCTGGCCGGCAGCCAGCTGGTATCAGCAGCGCCGTCTCCCGCGGACGTACCAGTGGCAGCTGAACGACGGCAGCCGCCTTGTTCTGCTCGGCGGCCTTGCGGAATTGCTCGTCGAACGGGTTGGCCTTCAGCAGGTCCTGGAAGAGGCCGACTTCCTCTCCGATTCGGATGAAGCGGGTCGGCGTCGGCGTGAGGTCGGCTGGCGGCGGTCAGGCAATATCAGACGGCTAAGGTCGGTGCTGGGATACGGCAGACGCCGGGGTGAAACGCTGGGCTGCTGGGCGTCAGCTGGGCAGCAGGTGATCAGCCAGCACGGCCAACCCCAACCTATCCATATGGGCCACGCATGGGCATTTGAACTTGGGTTCTTGCATACAGAGAAAAGGCGGCCTCCAGCTGCTTCCACCGCCGATCGGTCGTCAAAGGCACGTCAGTTCACAAGGCCGACCATCACCAACACAGAGGCTTGTCCGTCTATCCGTTCTAGCTTATCCAACCCAAAGCGTAGAGTAGAAAACGCATCCTATGGTACCGTGCCCCTAACGAGCCTTCCCACCAGCCTGGGAGCACGCCACCATCCCCTCCACTCACCCAGAAGCCTCTTCGTCACAATGAATACGCAACAAGTAAAGGCTGTTGCGAAGGCCCAGACTACGCCAACTCAGCAGAGCAAGCATTATTCAAATCACTCTTTTTTAACGGCTGACTTAAGCCTACCAAGCAATGTCACAAGCACATGGCCACTCCAGTTTCAGCCTGGCCCCACCCGCACGGCACTGGGCGCATAACATCCCACCTCCTGTGAAAAGAGGAAGACATCATCTCCTCCCAACCAGCGGAGCACCCATCACCATACACCTGACGCCCAGTCAAGCACCCATCACCGCCACTCATCTCCGTGTCTGCGGACGCCTTGTGAAGTCGCGCCAAACGGGCCACGGCCGGGCACAAGGCGCATCAAAGCGCCCGCGGCCGCAAGTCGTGCCAGGCCGCCGCGGGGTCAGCCGCTCCGAGGCGGCGGGGGTTCGCGGTCGCCGCCTCGAGAATCGGGGTTACGCCGGCCAGTCGCTCGGGCGGGCGGTCCACCGGCCGCCGCTCGAGACGCGGGGGTCCGCCGGCCGCCGCTCGAGACGCGGGTTCCGCCGGGACCGCCGCTCGAGCGCGGGGTACGCGGCCCGCCGCTCGAGTCGCGGGGTACGCCGGCCGCCGCTCGAGTCGCGGGGTACGCCGGCCGCCGCCCGAGACGCGGAATCCGCTGGCCGGCCGCGCCGCCATCTCACGCGATACGCGCGGGGCGCCGCCGTCGCTGCCGCCGCCGCCGACGACCGCTCAAGGTGGCCGCGCAGCACGGAGCTCAGCAGCCTCATGAGCGCTCTCAAACGTCAGTCTGTGAGAGGGCATGACCGTGAAGGCGTCGGGGCCCGAGCCGCGGCGGACAGGCGGAGTCCGCGGCGGAGACGCCCGGCCGGCCGCGTCTGTCGCTGGCTCGAGGGCCAGGCACGGGTCAACACTCACCGCCCAGGGTCAGGCTGTTGGAGCGGCTGATGGTGATGCCACCCGGCAGGAGCAGCGACATCTCGTGGCGTTTCTGGTGCGAGCTCAGGTGGTCCTCGTTGGTGAACGTCTGAAGCACGGTCCGACCCGTAGCACAAGGCTGAATGGACCACAACACCGAGAGCGTGCAGGCAAAGCCGTGTTGATTCCCAATAAGAATAGCAGGGGAACAGGAGGACAGGGAAGATTGCGCAATAGGGACCAGCCAAAATTACAGGAAACTTCAGTACAAGTTCTTGGTTTCAAAAAGGTCATGGTGGTATGAATGGCTCTCACGCACACTGTGACACAGACACAACGCTGCGCTATTTTAAGATTCGCACCGATCATCATCAGCGTCTTCTATGTTTTGAAGAAAAGAAGTGACGTCGACTACGTGATCATCCATGGTCTGCGCCGCGCTGCACTACAAAGAAATACCATCCCTGAACCCCCGAAAAGCTAACACAAAAACTGTCTTCAGAGCGACTACGCTGGTATTAATGCTGATAGAAAAAGCCCGGCGTCTTTAGCCGGCGCCCTGTAGCCCAGGACGCCGGCATACGGTCAGCCCTGGCCTGCCCAGAGGGAGGTGACCCAGCTCACGCACCGCTCGGCAGCCGGGCGAGGTGCACTCGAACGGCTTGCTGACCTCTGGAGCATCGGCCATTGTCGGCTCACCCGGGCGCCGGCAAGGCCGACTCGCCGCCGACAAAGTCTGAAACATCGCGGCGATGCGTCAGTTAGCACATCCCGGGTCCTCACATGCGTCCTGTTCTTAACATGCGCATGAGCGCCAGCAACAGAACAGACTGCGACAGCCATCGAAAAACGTAGCGCAGCACCCCCGTGGAGGCGAAACGACAGTCTCACCAACGGCTCATTCCGTATCGTTTTTGTGCGCCCTCATTTTGGTCACGCCACCGAGCAGGCCTTGCCAGCCGTCCCCCACCAGCGCGCATCGCCCAGCGCCGAGGGCTGGCGCCGGCGCCGCTGTCCGGACGGCACCTGGCGCCGCCCGCCGGCCCGCCGGCCCGCCGGCGCCGGGGGTCGCCACTGCAGCAGCGCCGTCCGGGCTGATCGATCGGATGCGGCAGCCGCTCGAGGCGGCGACACGGCCCGGCCCGGCCCGGCTCGGCCGCCCGGCCGCCCTGCCGCCGAGGCCGGCCCGGACGAGGACGGTACAGGGCCGCGGTCAGCTGACAGACGAGCAAGCGAGCGGCGCACGAGGCGGGGCGGACAGCGGAGGACTGCGCAGACTGACAGGTGATTATCTGGAATGAGCCGCGGACGAGATATGCACGAGTGATGGACGATTGGTGGACGAAGCCGATCGACGCGAGCACCGTGGGCCGCGGATCTAACGGCAAACGATGGCCAGAGGGGAACCGATGAACAGCAGACGGGTGCGTGCGCGAAGGGCACACGACAAAACGGCGACGGCCGGGTAGCAGTCGATACACCACCCGACCGCCGCTGCCGGCAGTAGCTCCAGCAGCCTGCTCTCTGGTGCGGCCCGGGGCAGCATCGGGTCCGACCACGCCGCCATCAGCTGGTCCGAGGCTCACAGCCAGCTGGGCAAGGGGGCGGAGAAGGTCACGCTGTCGTAGAGGCCGCTGTGGCACCAGCGGAGCGGCTGCGGGGTCGAAACAGAGCTAGGGAGCTCTGCAGATGAGACGGTGCTCGGCTCCAGTCATTTACGCTTCGCGGTTTCAAAGAATGTACGCGCTATTTGTCTACATCCCAGGATGAAATGTGTCACATGCGTATTGCAGAAACCGACAACTTTAACCCCCCCCCCCCACCCCCTCCCCCAACTCCCTAGCAAAGCACCGACGTCACCATCAGATCTAGGGACTTGCCCTTCAATCTGTTCCATCCCGACCCGACGTCATCATCACGTACCACCAGATCCAGTCCTCATTTCACCATCAGGCCTGATCCGTAAACCGCCGGCGCATCCATCCCTCATCGGCACAAACGTTCACTCCACGGTCGAGCCCAGTCTCCACCCAACGTCAGAGCCAGCAATGCAGTCCTTTTCGGGTCCAGTTCTCAGCCCAACCTTAGAACACGTCCCCTTCCCACCATTGAACAAGTTCTCTCACATCCCCACCCTAGTAACAACCCTACCTTAGTTACAACCCCACTCTAGTTACAACCGCAGCCCTTGTTACAAACCCACCCTAATTACAACCTACCCTGGTCACAACCACGCCCTAATAACAATGCCGCCCTGGTTACAATCCCGCCCTAGTGCTCCAAGCATCAGGTCAGCTCAGTCCTCATCCCACCGCCAAGCCTGAACCTCATCCCATCGTCAGATCCAGACCTCATCCCAGTGTCAGACCCTGACATCAGTTACCTACCAGACCTAATCACCATTCACGACAGACACAATCTCACCTGAGTCAGACCCAAACCTCATCCCCGTCTGACCCAGATTCTCATCCCTGTCACTCAATCCGCATCTCGCCCCACCCAATTTCTATCCCTGTCGGAATAGCACGCCCACCCGGCGCTGGTGCGTTAAGTCCCAAGACGCCGGCCACCACCACCGGCGTCGCTGGTCGACGGTAATAGGATATCGCCGGCGCCGGCGCGGCCGACCGGGGCCCTAACCGAATCATGCCGGCAGGCCGAGACGCGGTGCCTGGTGGCTCCGACATCGAGCGGCGGGCGAGCCGGCGGCGACGAGGGCGCCCTCTGCGCCGCGCGGCCCACCACTGCTCACACGCGATCACCACGGCAGGGAGGAAGGAGGTGGTCCGGAGATGATCGGGAAGAGGTGACAGAGGAGCTGGTACCCGGGCCGGTCTCACGGCGCCACGCCGCTGGAGATCGAAGCGCAGCGAGCGGAACGCAGCGACCCCGGAGATAAGAGCGCAGCGACCTCGGAGACCGAAGCGCGGCGAGCTTGGAGATCGGAGAGCAGCGAGCTCTGAGATCGGGGCTCAGCGAGCTCCGAGATCGCTGCGCGCAGCGATCGGAGCGCAGCGATCCCGGAGATCGGAAAGCAGCGAGCTCTGAGATCGGAGCTCAGCGAGCTCGGAGATCGCAGCGCAGCAATCCCGGAGATTAAAGCGCGGCGAGCTCGGAGATCGGAACGCAGCGATCCCACAGATCGGAGCGCAACGAGCCGAGATTGGAGCGCAGCGAGCTCTGAGATCAGAGCGCAGCGAGCTTTGAGATCGGAACGCAGCGATCCCAGAGATCGACGCGCAGCGATCCCGGAGATCGGAGCGCAGCGATCCCGGAGACCGGATCGCAGCGAGCGCGGAGATCGGAGCAGCAACGGGCCCCGTCAGGGCTTAATATAGAGCGAGGAGTCCGTGTGATTGAGTCTTTTATAAACGGAGCGTTGTGAGGTAGCCACACACCAGGTCATGTCCCGGAAATTTGGGCTTTGAAGTAGCAACTGATTGACTGTTGGAGCCGATTTGAACTTCGCCGGAGGCGAGTCCAACGCAGACGATTCCGCGAACGTGATGGCAGACGTCTGCCTTCATGAAAGGATATTTGCGAAAGAAATGCGCCACACAAAGCCAGCGCACATGTTAGAACCAGCGCAGAACTCTCACGTGCCGGCACAGGCCGCGGCGGGCCTAGGGCCGGTCGGGCGACAATGGGCGGGCGTCGGGCGAAACACCCGCATTTTCTACGGGCCGTACTTCTAGTGCCCGTCGACTCCACCATCGCAGCTGGGGGTAGCGCCGCGGCACAAACTGGGTGCCGCTACACCGCCGGCGGCACCGCCCGGGACCACCCACCGCCCGCTGTTTTGTTATTCGAGTCAGTCAACGGCAGGCGGCACAATAAACCGACGTCGACGGGAGGCGGCGGGGCGCGCAGCAGCAGCGGCGACTGAGACCGCAGGTGTCGAGGACGACCCGTCCGCTCGCCCCACACACACCGCAACACAAACACCGACACACAGTCCCGGCCGAGTCCCACACAAACACAAACACGGCGCGGCTGGTGACGGCCGGCGGAGAGCAACGCTGCAGCTGGGACCTCCTGCGACCGATACGGCGGTAGGTAACGAGGATCAGACGGCAGCGCTCGTCCGGATGAAGACAGCACGTGGTCAGCGATGCAGGACCAGCCTGTCCTCTCGGCCAACGGTCGGCCGACTCGCGCCTGACGCATCCGACCCGAGAGAAGGCTCCACGAGAATCTACAGGCGACTGTCCCGGGGGTATCAATGACGTCATTATCCAGATATGGAGGTCCTTCCCAGTCGGCTAGCAGTTCACACAACCTCGATAATTAGTTTCGCCTGTGTATTTTACCCCGTGGATCTGTAAAAAGGCTGTTCAAGGTTTTTATTCCAAGCCTCGTCCAAAAGACGCAGTCGAGCCTTTAGAAAAACAGCCAGGCGCGGCAGCCAGCTCTTAGACCAACAATTAGCGAAGAGCCCAAACCGTTTGGCATGGGTCGCCACAAAGAACAAACATTGCGACGACTGACGTTTGGAAGGTAGAACATGTCGGGCTCACAGACTACGAACAAAGACCGATTGACACTTTGTCAAGCTCTAAGTAGCCAAAAAATAATGAAGTGATACAGAGCAGCCTGAAGAGCAACAGACGTTCAGCGGATAAAGATGCAAGGCTGAGAATGCAACATCACGAAGGCTAGTAAAACAAAAGCGCAGGGATAAGAACGTGATTTGACACACGCTCGGGTGACGGTCCAATTGACCCCCTGAAGGATTTTCTGGAATGGTTTCCGAACGACGCATCGTAGCCGCGAAAGACTTTGCATAGCTGTAGACAATTAAATAGCAGATCGTTCGGCATCAACAATTTAGATGCAACTTGTAAGATCACTGACCTACGGCAGGTCAGTCAGGCCATGGATTCAACGAAGCCAATTTCTAGGGAATCGTTCAATCGGATGCAACGACAGGGTGTTAGACGGAGCCGAACATTTCTGAGATACTGTCTTAGGCAACACAATTGAATGAATAAATTACATTAATCTAGGGTCAGGTATAAAGGTCAGACCAAGGTCAAAACCAACCTGTTTTAGTACTCTAGTGCTGGCTGAGTGGGATAGTTTCAGGTGCCCGCTTTCGAGGAGACTTCTTTAGGTCAGAAGAGGTCACTGACCCAAAATGGCCCGGATCAACATTGCGTTTTAAGCACACTGCCTATCGTAATCTTTGTCGCTTATTCGAATGCAAAAATCAAAGCGGTCTTGATGATTTTGGTCACCATGACCTTCAAAACGCCAAACATGGTCACTGACCTTAAATGGGCATGTGGCCTTTTGTTAAGAGCAGGAATCTAGGCTCTGGGGGCACTTTGGAGAGCAACTTGGAGTTTCACCTTGTTTGACCTTACTTGGTTCGGAGATCATGACCCAGGAACCTCAAACTTTGACCTAAGTGAGTTCACGTACAGGCCAGCACACCCTGTGAATTTGCTATATCTAGCCCTCTTAGCTCATGCGATCTCAGGGGGTCAAATTGACCTTCACCTGAGCGAAGCGTATGTAACCGGCACCCGGGCGCGTGTTAAAACTGCACGCAACACGCAAGCATCTCGAAGCGTGATCACAACGTAAAACCGCCATTCAGAACTAGTCTTAAATTTAGACTGGTTCGCTACTAGTTCATACTAGTACGGTTACGGGTTGATATTTTGGAGAAAGTTGCGTCTCTACTCTCGACCCCTTATATTATCTACATCAACGTCGGCGTGTCTCATTCAA